TTTCGTCGGCCTGGCATGACCTTTGCATTAGGAGGACGCACAACTCTATTCTGGACATCTTCAGGAATAACCCATAGCTCTTGAAGCTGTACCGGGTAGATGGTATCTGAATAAACATCTAACCATATATTTCGAGTGTAATAATGAGAAGCCATGGAGTATACATTTAGTTTCAAGAAATGACCAACTCCAACTACATGCTTGCAAGGTAGTTGCTCAAGCTGAAACTTCCTATAACTGCAAGTGTTATTCGTCAAATGTACGTGGCCGTCCATATCACCGTCCACGACATTATACTTTACGTGATTCAGTTTCACGACATTCATCCTTGAAGCACATTCCAACCTGCGTCTCAGCTTCGTCTCGCCAAAGTCAGGGCACAATGTTGATGTACATTTCAAAGCAAAATCACGACGTTTACTGAACCATTTCACAAGCAGATTGATGATTTCATCAATCAAATGCACCATTAGTAGCATCCTTGCGAACTGAAGGACTGAGTTGATTGACTCCGCAATATTTGTTGTCATTACATTGTATCGACGTCCATCCATGTGAGCTTTAGACCACTTGTGTAATCCTGCACTTTCAAGATACTGAGCAACCTCATCATTTCCCTTGATCTTGCGAAAATGACGATCAAATTCAATGATACCATAAGATTTTGCAGCTTGTTCAAAGTATAGCAATAATTTATCATGTTTTTTTCAATTTGAAAGTGTGTTTCATGTTCCCCTTCATATGGTAAACGCATATGCCATGTTGCGCCGTTGGAAAAATGTTGTGCCACACATTCTCTATGCTAATATTCCGATAAGAAATAATCACAAGATTTGGACACTCACCATGGCTTCATGAAGCTTACTGAAAAACCAATGCCATGATGCATCCATCTCTAAATCCCCAATTCTAAAAGCAAGAGGATATATATTTCGATTTCCGTCAAATGCATTGACAACAAATAGGACACCCTTATACTTACATTTTAAATATGTGGCATCCACAGCAATGACTGGCCGCATCAAAGATTGAAACCCTCTAATACATGGCCCAACAGCCATAAAAAGATACCAAAAGTGATTGTTCTCATTGGTGTGAATGTATGTCTTTGTGCCAGAATTCACACGCTCTAATTTGTGACAATAAGCTGGAAGGAGAGAATATGCCTCCTCTACTGAACCTCTAGTGGACATTAGAGCTAACTCCCTCGATCTCCAAGCTTTGCAATAATTAATGGTAACACCAAAGTTTTGTTTCACATCTCTGATTATATAGCACTTGCATGACGATGCTTGTCATGTATAAAACTCATATCACATTCATGGACCGGATTATATTTCACAATCATGAAGTTCTTTTCTCCATAACTAGATGCACGAAGCCGCCATGGGCATGGACCTTGAGAACAAACCACAACCAATCGACTTTTGCAAGATTGCTTCACCTTAAATTCAAAGTGACCTCTCACTGCTGCCAACTGTAACTTGTTGGACAAGGCTTCCTTACTAGAGAAAATTTTCCCAACTTCCAATTTTGGATCCCAATTATTTCGTGAATACACGTTTTCAATATCTTCTTCATCATCATTTACAATACCCAAATTGTGCACGTTTTGTTCACCCATTTGCCTCCAATTATGTCGAATAGAAAGTTCAGACCTTGTTCCGAAACCCACCACACCCACTTGTGAAAATATCTCCGAATAGGCCAAAATAGGAGGGGCTAAGTGCATTTGCAAGCCATTCATTTCCGTACCATTATCACCACTATGCACCCTCTCCACCCCTGTAAAATTAATCATGTCTAAATATTCTATTCCAAAATCACCATGTACATCACCATTGCTTTCAACTATGGCATTTGAAGAACAGGCCATCCGACTCATATCCGTTGTGAAATGCATACGATCACCTACGACATTTGTCACTCCTCTGTCTTCTATGCTCACCAGTAAAGGAGCCACTTTTGAAGGAATTACATCACAAATGTACTTAATAAAAAATTTAACATCATCATTGTCCTCAATCTTGATATGCTTACACTCATTCGAGGATATTGAAACTAAGAACTTTAAACAAAGCTTGTCTTCCCTGTTGTTTGTATTAACAATCCTATGCACCTGTTCCAAAAGCTCACCAAACATGATGTTTCGCGAAACTATTATGCCTTTTGAGTCACCCCTTTCATATGTGCACATCTTCTTTGAGGTTACCCATTTTCCATTGTAGCAAACCAAAATTGCAATTGTGTCCATTTCTGACCATCATAAAATTTCCTTTTGTTAACACATGTTAAGCTACCAATAAAAAATCTATCAACTAGTGGATAAACCATATAGATAAAACATCAATTAAACATCAATAACCAACAATTTTAAAACATTAGTATTATGCAAAGTGAAACGGTTCAGCTAGCATAGCTCTGTTTCAAGCTCCAACAAGGAAGACTTGTATCAAGAACTCTTAAAGTTAAATCCAACCCAAAGCCATTAACCTAGGGTATCCTATTACTAACTAACTACTTACAAATTGCCAAACCTTGATTGTCCAATGTTGTTTCATATCGAATATCATACCACCCAAAAGAGTGAATACGTTACTTTCAAGGAGATCTGCAAGTCCCAATCTCATTCACAAAACAATGTATACATCATTTCAAAGACAAATTATAAGCACAAAACAATGTATCCAAGTCCAAGAGCTTAACCACCACATGAAATAGTTGGTAAATTTCATTCAATCACAGAAACAGCAAGCCACAACAAAAACCCATTAATATCTCATTCAAAACAGTAAAAGCAATCACCCAATAATCTCAATCAATCAAAGAAACCCAAAACAAAAACAAACAAACAAACAAACAAAAAAAAAAAAAAAATCAAAACTCACCACAGTGAAGATTGATGATGAATGTGTCGTGGCTTTATGGTGGAAGTCGACAACGGAGGTGGCAAGTCAAGACTGTGGCTTCGTTGTGGAGGCCGACAACGGAGATGGCGAGTTGTGCCTTGGCTAGGGTCCAGTTCCAAATTTGGGGTTCAACCTTAAGGTTGAAATAATCTCATAGTTGGAAGACACAACTAAGAGGAGATAGAGTTAGGGGAGATTCTATGGTTGAGATGGATTTTATAAGGTTTGGCAGAAGGAAGAAGAGGAAGAGGAAGAGCAACGACTGAGAAAAAAAGAGAGTGAAGAATGGGCAATAGGCTGTCAATAAGGAGTTTTTATAAGGGGCATTTGTGATTGAGTTTCAAAATAAGGATATTAATGAATAAATTAGGTGAGTCAGGGGTAAAGCCGCCAATTTCCCTATAAAATAAGACAAAAACTTTCAGCCCAGTTTGCAAAGTACTCGTTTTGGCCGCACACCTATATATCTCTATATTTCAAATGTGTGTGTGTATATATATATATATCAACACAAAACAGGATGAGGAAGGCTTCAATTTGATGCAACAATCCAAGGCAATTGCATTTATATATATATATATAATATAAATACAAAATTGGATGATGGAAGTTCAATAAAGCCCTGGCCGCATATCTTGAAGTTTCAGCCCCACTTATTTGAATATATGTATGTATATATAGAATAAGACAATTAAACTTCCAACCTAAAAAACCCTTCAACCGTTAACAAATTCAAAAAACTCCAGCCGCCATTCTCCAAAGCTCTGTCTACTCCAAACCAAAACCCTTTCAGCCCAGTTTGCAAAGATACCAAATACCCCAGCCGCATATTCGTCCCAAGGCACTAGCTGCTCCAAATCTCGACCGACATGAGACTCCTTCAAGACTCGGCCGAGCTCTCCCAAGCTCTCCATCATTTCGGCAGCAAGAACCCCGACATTTTCAGTCGCTACCTCCTCCAATCCCAGCCTCCAAACCCCGGGCCGAGATCTTCCGCTTCATTCGGACTGCCCGGCTACGTCTCGCAAGGCCCATATTTCTCCGGCCGTGCCCATCCAATTCTCGTGCCCGGGTTAGGTAGATTTCTACCACCCCTAAATACTATTGTTACAGTAAAACGACTTACCTGGTTATACCAAATTGTAGCTGCTATGTGAGTTTTAAAACTCGTAAGTAAAGATGGATCAATGAGACCTACTCGAGATGGCTCAGTAGGCTCAACATCTACCTCAACATTACTATCATGACTAGTAGCTACATCTTCAACCTCTGTGTCAACATTACTATCAACGGCTACATCTTCAACCTCTATAGTATCCTCAAAGTGGTCTGGGGACCATGCTGGGGCTGGTCCTCTTGAGAGGCTAACCTCGCCGCTCTATGTCTCCTCGTTGAGGCTGTGGGACGCTGTTTATCAGGTCGAGATGATGAATCCTCAGTAGTACCTCTGCAAGTCCTCTTCATATCTAAAGAAATAATATTAAGTACAAACTCAATAATGAATTTGGTAGATGATCACTAAAACAAGAAACAAATTCACTGAAACAGAAAACAAATTCAGTAGACTACCATTGAAAAACGGAAGCAGATCGGTGGACTACCACTGAAAAAAGGAAACAAATTCGGTGGTCAGCCACAAAAAAATGGAAACAAATTCGGTGGACTACTACTGAAACAAGATAACGATTTTGGTGGGATTTACACAGATAAGTTAAGGAATGAGATTCATGAGGACAATTTAAGAAGAAAAATAGGGTGTAGTGAGTAATTTTAAATTTTACTAAAATTCAGTGGGATGTAAAGAGAATATGGGGTGCAAAGAGCAAATTTTGGAGTGCGAATAAAATCACCCAATAATAAATTATATCACTGCAAGTGGCATTTAATTTTGAGTTTTGGTGTAAGGCTTTCAAAGGCTTTTTTTTTTTGTTTTGGGTAAGGCTTTCAATGGTTTCACTATTATATTTACAATGACTATCAAGATGATTGTGAGTGCATATCTTATGAATTTAAAAATAAATAAAATTTTGGTACAGTCTTCATATATTTTGAGAATTCCCTAATTTGTGGGGATTGAGTTTTTCCTTAACTATGTGGGTAATTGTTGGAATTTTTGTGGACATATGGTTGGAGTTGTGTGATCGTTTTGCACAGGAGTCTAGAAGGGATGAACTGCTGAGCTCCATTGCATACGGGCTCTGGCGGCTATGGAAGTGCCAAAACAGTTTGGTATTTGAAGGGATTCCGATTCACCCAGCTGAGGCTATGGAGATCATGATCAAGCAGCAAACTGATTTTTTGCAGACTAGGGAGAAGGGAAAGGAGACGACACCCATCCAAGGAGGTGGCGGAGAACATCGAAGCATGAGCACTCAACAATGGTCCTGCCCTCTGATGGATTTTGTTAAAATCAATTGTGACGGGGCATGGACGTCACAAACTTTGCGTGGTGGGTGGGGTTGGGTGATACATGATGCATCTGGGGTGTTTAAAGGGGCTAGGGGTGAAGGAGGTGTGTGATGCAGCACTGCAATAGTTGCTGAAGCTCCCCCAGGGTGCAAGTCACATGTACTCTTGGAGAACTCACCTATTGCATAGTATTATGTTGCCCATATATAAATATATACTTTCATTGTTTTTTTAATGGTAAAATTTTGAAAACCTTGTGGGGGATTGTTGGAATTTTTAAAGGTTTTAAAAATTTAACTGTTTTGATTTATTTAATTATTTTGGCTATTTTATTTTATTTATTGTGCGGGTTATGAATATTTAATTTTCAGGTTTTATTTCTATATTGAATGCCTTAATTTTCTAGTTTAATATGGTGAAGGTTACATGTTATTGGATGCTTATAAAAGGCCACTCCTTCTTCACATTTGAACAACCACAACATCATCAGTATATCATATACCACAATCACCACCACAATCTGATTATCTCCTTTTATACTTTTATATATATTCTCTACTTTCTATTAGTATTTTTGGGCAATGGTTATGTGACTTGGAAACATATCTGTCTGTGAACGTGCTCATAGCGGATCTTGAGTTTGTGTATTAAGGTTGTATCTTGGAGTCTTGTAGACCGTCAGTACCTACATGTAGGGAGGCTATAAAGACTTTAAGACAACGTCTTTAACGTGCTTCATCGTACCAAGTTCACCTTCTTACTTATAATTTATTTTGCTTTTACTTACCTATAAATTTGTTTTTCTTCATTTTCATTGTACCTTAATAGCTTTCCAATTTGTTTATATGTTATTTATAATATAAGGTTTTTGTATTTGGCTTTACGAAAGAGAAAAACTATATTTTTTATAACATCATATTCCCATAATCTCATTGCCAGGTAGTTGGACAATTCTTCCATTGTCAGTGCATACAGTTGATGCTTCCAATCATGACTGGGAAACCTCGAGCCTTGGCTTTTTGTAGAAGCCTTTAGAGGTCCATAGCCATAGGTTTGCAGAGGTAATCCCTCATGTATAGAGTTTCGATTGCATTACAGAATCTGACCAAGCTCTCTAGGAAAATGGATTTCCCCATCCTAGCAATCTCATCCACCTGGTCTGTAGATGCGCCAAACACCAGCATCCATAAAGAAGCTGTAAACTTTTGTTCCGGAAGTGCAAACATAATGCATGATTTTATTGAACAAATGGGACTGCGTTCTATATCGCCCTTGAAAATCAACAGTAGAGTACAACAAATTTGGGATAAAGTAATCTTCCAAGAGATTTTTACCCTGAGAATGCCTATATTTGTCCATGTTCAGGCCACGGCCGACTTGTGAACCATGGTGGGCTTGGCTTGATTGATCGGAGACACCAGGGCTCGACACGTAGCTTGTAGTTGTTGAGGAAAACAGGGCTGACGCCAGGCTGGCGTCAATCCACGGGATTTTGAAATTTTTTTACCATTGGCATGTGTACGACATGCGCCAACGGTAAAAAAATTTGAATCACTTGCGCTAAAGCCAGCCTGGTGTCAGCAGCCCTCAGGCACGAGCTCCGGCTAGATCTGCTTTTGCGCTTGCCCAGTTTGGTGGCCCCCACCATCGGCCTGGGCTGCTGAAGCCCGCTGAAAACGCCCCCATTTTTGCCCGGGCTAGCCTTCATAGGTGAAAGTGCTCTTAAAGCATCTTGAAGCGAGTATGTATTAAATGAGTTGGCTAGCCCCATAAGCAAATGAGTCATGTTGTTCCATTGGTTTATATTTTCAATGGTATTGTATTGATTGTTTTTAGTCTGTGTGTTTGTAATTTATGGTTATGGAATTAACTTGTCTTCGAAATCTACTATTTTTAGGGTTAACTTTTTCATGAAATAAGTAAAAAGTGACAATATATGAAATTAAATGAAAATACTTCCCTTTCGGCTAGAAAAGATAAAGAATCTGAACTTGATAATTTAATATTTTCATTGTAACCATTGGATGAAAATCAAGTACAATCAATATTCGATCCAAAAAAAAAAAAGTACAATCAATCTACGTTTATTTATGTATAAAATTGATGTTCACGTAAACTCTAAAACTCACTCTATCTATTACAGAATTCTAAGACGGATCCTAAAGTTGAAGTTACACCTAACTTTGGCAAACATAGTCTTATAAGAGCATCTACAATGGGGGGATGTATGTTAAATATACACCCGTTGTGATCAGAATCACCTGCAATGGGAGGGTGTAAATTGATGTATAATTACATCATCACCATGAGATGTAAATTTAGATGCAATTGTACATCTATTTTTACATCTCTTGCAAGTGGGACTCACCCGAGAAAAGAAGAGGAAAAGTGAAGGAAAGTCAGCATAAAAGAGTAGGACCTGCGGCTACAGTAATTGCTGGACAAAAATTCACATGCGGAGCAATTTTTTGGTTGTCATGTCCCCCGCCCCCAAACAAAACGGCTAGTTTGCAACAGCCAATTGAATTGTCAAAAAGAGGAAACAGCCAACAGCCAACATTTAATCAGACAGCAGCTTTAAATATTTTTGGATGAAATCATATATTCTCCGAATTTAAATATTTTTAGGTCTATTTGTTTGAAAAAATAAAATTAACTTAATACAAAAAAAAATTAATTTTATAAAGTAAACACAAAAACGAATTAAGACAAACAAATCAATTATACATCTTTAGATTTACATCGTTTTCCATTTGAGCAAAAAATGTATTTACACCCCTTGGAGGTGTAAAGGGGATGTAAAAGTGGCTTTACACCCCCGAAAATAACCCCCCCTCCCCAATTGTGGATGCTCTAAACAAGTGTCCCTAAGTGCAAGTGCAACCCTCCAAGCATGGAGTACCCATGCAAGGAAATGTTACACAAACAAAGTCCTTACAGATTGGAAGGAAAGTAAAACTTTGGCCGAAGTGGGTAAACTAATGACTCATATGATGAGAACTAATCAGTTCTTGGAGCAATTTGTTGTTTTTAACTTTCAAAGTCTATGAAGGCAGACAATATATGAAATTCAATGAAGATAGGCCTCCTCCTCCTAGTTAGAAATGATAAGGGAATGCGAAGTTGATAAGATAATGTTTTCACCGTAATGGTTAGATGAAATAAGGTATAGTCAATCTAAGCCGTTTATTTATGTGTAAAATCAATTCATGTGAATCCTAAAACTCACTACATTTATTACCAAACAATAGCTTCATCTTCTCAATGCACCAAATGCGTCCAACCAAAGACTGGGTCGCAAAGTTCAAGTTACGCCTAACTTCTGCAAGCCTATCCTACAGGCAAGTGTCCTTGTTGGGTATGCAAGGAGGCTTCCGGATAAATCCTGACAATATGGAATACCACCATTCCCTGACCCTCTCTCCCTCAAGGCCCCCATCCCGCATGTAGCAAGTGGCAGTCCTGTGTCAAGTGTGTCTCTTAGGAGTTTGATTAGTGAAAAGTGTTTTAAGTCATTTGACATTGTTAGAAATAAAGAATATTAAAATAAAATAAAACATAATCCAATTTGTTGGATTAACGGTGTGAAATGATAATCTATGAACATTATCTCAAAGAATTATTTCTTGGGTTCTGAATTGTAATGCTAATTTGTTGTTTGTGCTCCCCAAATTTGACTTGAATTTTGTTTTGTTTTGTTTTTTTGTTTTTGTTTTTTTTTTCCAGTCTGGAGACTTGTTCAATGATCAGATGTCCCCAAATTAGGAAAAAAAAAAAAAGGGTTATTGTTTGGTCACAATTCTGAAGCGAGTATGCTTTAAATGAATGAGGCCTACTCTTGGATGAGCTTGTGAATTATATGCTGGTTATGTGCTTGCTGAGGTCTAATGGTAGTGGCAAGCTGATGTGTTACTTTTGGTTGGTGAAGAAGCTGTGTGCCGGTGGTGGCCGAGTCCATTCGCCGGCCTTTCTTGTCGTGGCTGCTGTCACGTAGGGTCATCGAAAAGACACTTCTTTTCCTCCCTGTTTTTTGACGCTCCAAACACAAATAAATGTGAAGCAACAATCAAAGAAGCAATTTAAGTACTCGTCGAGGCTGCATTCTGTATTCTAATTTCTGCAGAAGGCAATACAAAAAACTAAAAAGAGGGGAGGGCATAAGGCAAACCCTGAGACAAACATACAACACTTCGTATGTTCTTTAATGCTTTTCTCCAAATACGTCACTGAATGCAGGTTCTGTAAGATACTACAGGAAAAAATTTAACCCAAGTACCATCATCAACGTTATCTATGATTAAAAATCTATAATGTAGCAGAATTTATTAATCCAGCTCAAATCTAAAAACTACGAATCTATGTTCACGATCTTATGAATCCAACTTCCATGTCTCCAGTTACTTCTGCATCATGACCTGTGGAAACAAAAGGAATAACATGAACCAAGTCAAATATTAAATTTTTTGTTTTTGTTTTGTTTTGCTAAGAAGTCAAAATTAACTGGATGTGTGTGATACACTGCTAAACAAAACCAACCGTCTAAAAAGGACTGAAAATATCTAAATAAAAGAAAAATAGTCCTTAGTATCCCTCTTGCAGTTGCAATGGCTAATAGATCAAGTATTAAAAATAAATAATAATGTTATTAAACTGAATTTTGTGAAATTTTTCCCATGAAAGTCGAACAAAATAAACTATTGCACCTCCAAGCTTCAGGTGATAATAGGCTTAATAAAACATTAGCTTATCAATGTCCAGACTTACTTGGTCCTATTCTCTTCAATAAAGATTTCCAGGCTTATTCAAACTATTTAAATCTGACTCTGACTCTGGCAAACCAGGGGATTGATCTCTTTAGGGCGTGTTTGACTGCTATGTAGAGTTTCATTAAATTCTAGCTTTCTAACATGCTCTCAATACACACAGACGATAATTTTTTGCAACAAATACAAAACACAAGAAAATTTCGGAATGAACAATCACCACAGTAACCAGAAGGCGATAAACTCTCAAGCCTATCATTTTTTACCACACAAATTATGCTAACAAGAACAAATATCCACATAGGAAAATGCATGTGTCCAACAAGTCCAATAATTTTAAGATCCTAACTTATATCTTTCTATCGTTTGCAAGAAATTTAACAAATTGAGTGGATAAGATAAAATAAATACAGTTCATTTTATCTCCCTTTTAAAGGAAGAAAATGCCCCATATGAAAGGAAAATAAAATCCCACAATCATTATGAGTTACAAGTTATTACTCACTTTTTCTCCAATTTGTCATCAGCATCTCTCACTGCCTGAACAAGATGATGTATCCGGTATTGGAGTTTAGCATTTTCTGCAGCAAGCTTCTTGTTCTGCAAGTCACCAAAAAAACAACAAAGAATTTAGATCATTCATTACTTCCCAAATGAGACAAAAACAAGATACAGAAGACATTGATGATACCTTTTCTTGTTCTAAAACCATCTCAGCACATGTATCTTTTAGCTTTGACTGGATTTCATTGATCAATTCGGAATAATCCTGATTTGCCGAATCTGCAGGATGACCCTTCTTGGCTGCAAGGGTGGCCTCAAGTCTTGCTAATCGCTCCTTTATAACAATGGTGCCAAGTTAGCAAGATTACAGGGGAAAACCCGTAGTTTCAATCATCAAACAAAATCATATAAACTTGATGCATATACTTTTGATCGGAAACAACTCATCCACAAAAATTATTAGAACTATACTGGAAGCAATAAAACAGAAAATTATTCCAAATATGAAAAGAATATATATCATAAAAAAACATGTCTTGTATCATTTGCACCCATCTCAATCAAACAGATATCATCTATCAGCACATCATTAGTCCATAACAGAGAGGTTTATTTCTGGTTTCTTCAAGTCTTCTGTCATATCAGTTGGAGCAAAACCAATAAGAAAATGGTGGTATACAAACTCCCACAGTTTGGACGAAAAGTCAAAGTGAATATAAATTTTTCCAATGCTAGGTATTTAGGGACAAGGTCTTGAAACCATCGACTCCAAACTATATATTTAGCTTTGAAAGCTTCACAACTATGACACGGAAAGTAGTTCAGTACTATCAGAGAATGTACCATCTGAAGGTGAAGGCTAGGCTTTTTCTGGTATTCATGAATTACAGTAATTGTTCGCTTCCCTTTTTTTAACAAATTAAAAATAAAAATTATATACAGGAATTATGGAATTGTTATGCAGCGCTTGTTACAATCATATGGACTTGTGGCATATTTTTACACGGAATTGGACATTTTCGCCGATACTGAAGTCTTGTAAACAGAGCAGTGTATTAATCTAAGAACTAAGTGGGAGAAGTTGTAGACCTATCTTTATTCACCGACGACGAAGCTGAAATCATAGAAATCATTTGCTTCATAAAAGGAATATCAGATTGGTACTCATCAAATGCATAAGCCACTTGAAAGATTAAAAGCATTATTGTTTCCTTATTTCTGATGAGAAACAGAATTGGTGTTGAGTCATAGATTTTCCGTTCTTTAGGAACCAAAGAAACAAAAACAACCACTTACGCACTTATTTAGCATACTGCATAATAGCTCTATGAAGTACAATTTCATTATTGATAACGAAATCCACACCACAAAATGCAACATTTAGATTTTGTTTTTTCCCACAACCAGTAGAAACCAGCTCAGAAAGAAAAATTCTCAAACAAACTTATTGGGATAAAAGCCAATTATGAAACCGATCAAACCCGAATCACTAGCACTACCACCGATTACTGACACCATTGACCCCCACCTTCACAATTCAGCCAAACCCCATATGTACACTGACAGGATTCGAACACACATGTATATATGCATGTACATTTTTGTCTTACAGTTGAGAAGCAAAGAAAGCCTATTATGAATGACATCAAGGTTTTAAGCTATGAAAGCAAAAACTATATGTATAGATGTATTTATGCATAAGCAAGTAAAAACGTGGGTAACCTCGGCTTGAGAGGCTCTCTGGTAAAAGGGCTTCAAGGTCTCTTCGAGGACGCTTAGATTCTCAGACGCCATCTTTGGAGTTTGGTGCCCAAGACTTTCCAATAAGACGAAAACTCCGGCAATGGGTTTCCTCAGATTCTTCAGAATTGCTTCAGCTGAAAATTTTGACCAAAACGAAGGTTTATATACGCGTGTACAATGGGGCCTACTCAACATTTTCGCTAGTTTAATACAAATTTAGGTTTTTTTATTCTGGAATTGTCCCTAAACTTGTTACAAGTGTTCATTTCAGTCCTCACACTTGGAAATCAATCAATTTGGTGTTTAATAATCTTTTGGTTCACACCTTAATTTGGTTTTTTTCATTACATTTCATTAAAATCTTTGTTCACATGACAAAATTTAAAAGATAATATTCATATAAATACAAACTATCCACTCGTGAGGCAAAATGTAGCTAATGTCTTTTACTCAATAAGGTCATTTGCTCTCTTTGTAGAACTCAATGTCAAATTGTAAGTAGAGATTAGATGACAACAATGATAAATTTGCCACATTAGATTGAAATAAAAACATGTAGTACATGAAATAGATTTGAAATGATTATATGCAATTAGTCATTTAAAATTCATTTGTTTTTTTACCTTTTTTTTTGGGGTCAAATCTTGGTATATATGAATTGTAATAAGGGTTAATGACCTAAATGGTCCTCCAACTATCGCTCCATTATCATTTTGGTTCACCAACTAAAATTTTCAATTCAAACGTCCTTAAACTTTTTATTTTGTACCAAGATGGTCCATCCGTTAAAGTCTGTGTATTATTCCATGAAATCGAGGGACAAAACCGTATTTTTAAGTGAGTATCCTCCTCTAAAAGGGTTATTGATCCTGTTCACCCGTTCTTGGTTTACTCCTATGATGGAAGGGCAAAGTTCCCCACTGCCTTGAGAACCATAAACTGGTCAACAAGTAAGCTTTCTTTGGTGTGCGAGCGTGCCACTGCTAGCAAAATTTCTAGCAGACTTGGTTTGGAATGGATAACTTGCGTCCCAAGTTACTGATTTCTGCAAACAAACGATTGTGAATTTGGGTGAGGAATATCTCCCAAGTAAGTTCTTTTCCTGCCTCAGACTGGTGAGGACTTTAACAATTTATCTCAGTATAAAGAGGTTGCCTTGGCCAGAATGGTTTGATGGGATTTAAATTGTTCTTTAGGCGGAACTGCCTTTTACAAAAATATACAGTGAATATTTATACTAGAGAAAGATGAAGGAACAGCCAGGACTTTATTTTTGTCGAGATAGAAGGTTCTGGTCTGGACTGGACTGGAGATGCCCGGGCTGGACTGGGGACGCTTGGGCTGGACTGGACCGTTGACAACCTTGGCTGCTAGGCTTCAACTTGTAAATCGATACCAAAGGCTGATTCTGGCAGAGCTTTGATGTACCTCATGCTTTTGTGAAGCTTTTGAGTGGGCAGAACTGCAATTTTCTCAATCTGCACGGGCAGGAGTGACTGTTTTTGAGGGCTTCAGTGGGCTAGAGACTGCACTGTGAATTTTGTTGAGGTTTTCCATACTTGGAGGAGACTCAAACCCTGCCTGTCTTGGTTTGCTGAACCAAATTTGTAACGAAAGAAATCTCATTTTGAATGACTTGTTTCTTAAATCTGGATTTTGTGGATCCTGATCTGGAGCTGGTTTCACTTGAAATTCAAGTGGGCTTGTTGGTTGATTTTGAACTTGTCCTTTGACGGTTTTCTTGTGTAAGATCTTTGTTTGATTGGGTGATGAGTTTTTTTGTGTGTCTCTACCCTGTTCACTCCTTCTTGTATTTATAGTAAACTGTTTTTCTGGAGTAGGGTGATTCTGTTTATTTATTGGGCGGCAAAGATATCTCCCCCTTTTTCTTTTTTAATGGAAAGAAAGAAAATAGGATTTCTTCAGTTTTGGCAGATAGGCTCTCAAATAGGCAATCACTTCCCTGATTTTCTTGAAAAGGAACCTAATCTCTTTCCCAATTTCAACTGCCCCTTGTGAGATTTTACCCGAATCTTTGGATGTGTGGATTTCGTTCATCTCCACAAAAATCAACGTAGCAAACTTGATCCATGTGCGCTTCGTTGTGTTTTTGTGGGTTATGCCACTCATCAGAAAGGCTACCGTTGTTATCACCCTCCTACCCGACGTACCTATGTCACTTTGGATGTGACCTTTCTGGAATCTGAGCTGTTCTTCCATGACCCATCATCCAATTCTACGCTTCAGGGGGAGATACGAAATGAAGAGCAGAATTGGAGCAACTTGGAAAACGAAGAAATTCTCCTATGTACAGAAATAATTGATCATCCCGAGTCTGGAGCACAAGATTACTCTCTGCCGAAAAGCGACCAATCGCCCATTCATAGCGATCAATTACCTGACCCACCTGATCCATACGAAGATATTTCTGATCCGAGTCTCACACCTACAGACAATACAGAACAACAAGATGAAGACCCCCCCTCTAACTCAACAGTACCAACAGACCAATCTCCTGAGAATATCCTTGAGGTAA